CTTCATGAGAGATTTCGTGTCCTTTGGTTTCTATTTGTGAACTTTATAACCGCTGCAAAATCAGGAAAATTTTTAGTTGTTGGTCCATTTCAACCCCCAAATATATTGCGGACATCTTTGAAAACAATAGGCCTAGTCCTTTTGAGCCTAACCCTGCACTTATGAAAATTTTCGTGAGGATTGGACGATAATTGCAATCTGCATACAATAACCCCAACCTGTGTTGTAAGGTGAAAAAGTATTACAAAATATACACTTCAATATCATAAGTCAAAATGAAAAAATCGCATGCGATAAAAAAGTATGAAAAAATAAAAAAAATGTCACAAAATACTACAGATTTTCTACTTTTATGCCAAGAGGGCGTTCTGAATTGACAAAATTTGTCAAAATCGGTCCAGCCATTCTTGAGATATAAGCATTATAGCTAACATCCCCTTCCTTTGTATATACACATTGTATATAGTTCGCTATATATATCCGATATATTTACTATAAAATTAAAAAATGCAAATTTCCATCTTTATAAAAAAATTTCTTTAAAAAAAAATCATAATGAGAAACATCGTAATGATAAACAAATATAAATAAAATGTGTTTACGGATTTCTTTTCTTTAAAATTTAAAAATAAGAAAATGCAAATTTCCCTCTTTATAACAAAAAATCTTCAGAAAAACAAATCATAATGATAAACATCGCAATGATAAACAAATATTAAGAAAATGTTTTTACGGATTTATTTTCTTTTCTTTAAATTTTAAAAATAAAAAAATTCAAATTTCCCACTTTATAACAAAATTCCTAAAAAAATGGAATATTACCCAAGCGATTCCCTCAACTTGTCAGCACTTCCTATTTATTTAACAGGCATTGGAAAGCCCACCAGATCCTTTGTATGTAGCTATCACCCCAATTTACCCACCTGTTCCATAATAACATTTGACTTCAAATAAATTTCCCATTAAATCACTGTCTTTCATGTCAATGAAATTCAGCTAAATAATGCCTACCACAGATTTTCGGCTTGTTGGTTGGTTATTTGGTTGGCAGGCTGGGTGGCTGGCTGTTTCAGCTAGGCCATCACCATCTACACAGATACTTGTTAATGGTTTGTATTATATTCGCATTAAGAATGTTTAAAATACACACACACACTCATTCACATCATCATTCCGCCAAGAGGAGAGAAGAAAAGACGCTTCATAATTGTGATACTGAACAGTTACAATAGCAACAAAAGTAGATTAATGACAAATAGAAATATGATATAGTTGTAAAAACAAGTCTTCGATGTTGGTCGGCATGTGTTTTCATAATCCCCCCCGTACCATTGTGAATTAAGAAGAACAAATTAGATTTGACATAACAAGTGAATGTATGCCTGTGGTGGCATTACTGTATCATGTTTGTTAAAATTTATAAGATGTTTTTTAAGGAAAAAATTTAAAAAGCCACACCACATCAGAGGCATCAACGGCTGTGGGACTAGATTATTCCTAAACAAATCAGTCTTTTGTAATTCCAATAGCGGTCAAGTGTTTGACTTCCTAAAAGAACATTATCGCTTTTTGAAATGTTCGGATTAGGATTCCTTGGAATCCGTGCATTTTAGGTATACATGGACTTCGGCAATATTACTGATAACAATAGAAGAATTGTTGTAATTATTCAAAATTTTGACCATTTGTGGGGAGGTACCAGAAGGAGTGGACCGATATTGTCCATTCTATCACCAGACCTAACACTGATGCAAATATTAAGATTTGCAAAGTTGGAACAAAATCAGATTATTGTTTCTCTTTCTGTGCAAAAAATATGTATTTTTTGAAAATTTCGACCATTTGTGGGGCATGTACCTGAAGGAGTGGACCGATATATTCCATCTTAACACCATGCCTTGGGTTGATATAAATATTGGGATCTGTGAATTTTGAAGACAATCGAACTCTTACATAACATTTTATGAGAGTTGTAATTATTTAAAATTTTGACCCTTTGTGGGGGAGGTACCAGAAGGAGTGGACCGATATTGTCCGTTTTCGCACCAGACCTTGCACTGACGCAAATATTAGGATTTGCAAAATTGGAGCAAAATAAGATTATCGTTTATCTTTCTATGCAAAAATATATATTTTTGAAAATTTCGACCATTTGTGGGGGAGGTACCAGAATGAGTGGACCGATATTGTCCATACTCTCACCAGACCTAGCACTGACACAAATATTAAGATTTTCAAAGTTGGAGCAAAATCAGACTATCGTTTCTCTTTCTGTGCAAAAAAATATGTATTTTTTGAAAATTTCGACCATTTGTGGGGGAGGTACCTGAAGGAGTGGACCGATATGCTCCTTCTTAACACCATACCTTGGGTTTATATAAATATTGGGATGTGTGAAATTTGAAGACAATCGGACTCTTAAATCACATATTATGAGAGTTGTAATTATTCAAAATGTTTACCATTTGTGGGGGAGGTACCTGATGGAGTGGACCGAAATTGTCCATTTTCATACTTGACCTAGCACTGACGCAAATATTAGGATGTGCAATGTTGGAGCAAAATCGGATTATCCTTTCACTTTCTGGGCAAAAAATATTTTTTTTGAAAATTTCGATCTAAGTTTGACAAAAATATTACGATGTACCAAGTTTGGATCAAATCAAATCGGATACTCCCTTCTAGAGTTATCGTGCGCATCAGCCAGACAAACAGACAGACATACGGACATCGCTAGATCGACTCCAAATGTTCTGAAACGGATTTAGTCCAAAGAGACCTAGAGTCTAAAACTGTTATTTCGACTAGGCACGTTTTGACCGTATCAAATGATATATACCCTCTGTAGCCATATAGCTGATGGTTTAAAAAGGGGTTTTGGTCAATTTTCAAAACATATTTAAAAACTTCCTTTAAGCGCGATCATAGTAAATCAAAATACTATAACATAATTCCCCAAAGAAAACAAAGCAAAAAGAGCCAAAAGAAGAAATATTCTATACAAAATTTTACAATATGATGTGCACGGTTATGCAAGGATACTTTTGCGTAATACGTAATATGTTCTCAGGGAGGGCTTTGCAAGGTGTAAATAAGATTCTACAAGGATATGCAACGATACTACTACTGAAAATGTCTTAATAAGTGCCCTACAAAGATATACAAAAATACAATTGAAAGAGACCTAATAAGTACTTTAAAAGGTTACTTCTCTGAGAGGTCTAAAGAAATGCTCAAGCAAGACTCCACACTCCTCAAGAGAGGCTCTATTAGGATATACATCGGCAATAGAACTTAATAAGTATTCTATCAAGACTCTACAGGATATCCTAGAATACTTCAACGAGAGTCATTAACAAGAACCTAATCAAGGCTCTGTGGGGATATACAAAGATGCTTCTGTGAGAGAGACATAAGTTCTTAAGCAAGAATCGAAAAGGATATACAAGAACACTTTTTTACTCAAGCAAGGCGTTACAAGTATATGCAATGATACTTCTGCCAGAGACCATAATTAGTACTCAAGCAAAGCTCCACAAGGACTTGAAAAGATATTTCTGCGAGAGGCCTCAATAGGAACTTAAGCAAGGCTCTATAAGGACATGACAAGATATTAAGACAGGAGACCCCTATATAAGTACTCAAGCTAATTTTTACAAAGATATGCGAGAATAGTATTGAAAAGGACCTCAATACAGAATAAATCATTTGTGTCTCGTACCATCCAACATCAGCAGAAATGGTCCAAAACTATAGAAACCCGCATCGCAGTGGCCGAAAAGTGGCTCGTGAACTGAACATATCGCAATATTCTATTCGGCAAATATTGACAAATGAGCTCGCGGTAAAGTCATTGAAATTCCAAAAAGGGGAAGAACTTACACCGCAACAGAAAGAAAATAGACTAAAAAGGGCTAAAGAGTTGCTTCGCTTGGCCGAAAGTGGTGAACTGCCTAATTTGGTTTTCTCCGATGAGAAAACATTCGTTGTCCTTCAAACAAAATGATCATGTTTACTTGCCAAAGAGATCAGCTGAAAATGTGCACCTTTGGTTGGCTACCAGAACTCAAGCACCGGGCATGGTAATGGTGTAGGCCGTCATAATGACCGATAGTCGCTCTCGTATAAATCGACTGTGGCATCAGAATAAGTGCCGAATATTGTCGCGAAAATATTCTGGAGGGTGTATTAAAGCCATAGGTACACAAACATTTTGACCGCAGACCTCGGACATTCCAACAGGACTCAGCACCATCGCACTCAGAACGCGCCACCCAAGAATGGTTAAAAAAATGATGTTCCTCGCTTCATTTCCAGCACACAATGGCCACCAAAATCTCCGGATACTAATCCATTGGACTATCGTGTCTGGGGTATTTTGCAAAGAAAGGTTGGCACTAAAAAATACCAAAGTGTCGATTACCTCAAACAAGCGCTTCGCCCGTAATGGGCCGAAATACCGCAGAGCAACATTCGGGTAGCGTGTAACGGTTTCATTGGCCGTTTAAAGGCCATAATTTGTGCCAAAGGTGACCAATTCGAACAAATTTAAACTTATTCTAAAATTTGATGCTATTTCCGACATTTTTTGCTTTCATTCAATACAATTTAAGAAAATAAATAAAAATTATGGCATTTGACTTTGCTGCAGTTTGTTTTATATCATCCTGTATTTAGTCGTGCTAGGTTTTACAAGAATTTACTCAAGCATGACCTTTCAATGACATTACTGAAAGTCACCTTAATAAGTTCTTAAGCAAGGCTCTACAAGAATATTCAGATATATCACTTCGAGAGACGATAAAAAGTACTATAGCAAGACTCTACAAGGATATGCAAGCATACCAATTGAGTACTTTAGTGAGGATCTACAATGATATGCGAGAATTCTTTATACGCCATGTGGTCTTGTTACGATTGACGAATTTTAAAATACTCAGCTTATATTGTTTTATGTAGTCTTCAATTCCGGTTTGAATACCATGTTTACTTACCTATTCCATAAAGTTGTTTGAGTTTGAAAATATAGTAGTACTATCCTCTTGATGTCTTTTACATGTCTTTGATATTTACAGTTGAGTCGCTGGCATCTCACTTTAGGGCAATAACATCATGAATCCTAAAAATAATAAGATTAACAAATTGATCAAAGTCAAAGCACTTTTTAAATACACATTTTGAAAGTCATAAGTTAAAAAATAAGTTAAAAAACCACTGTACTGGGATAAAAATTGAATTGTAGCATACTAAACTTGAAACACCGACATAGTCGGAGCGGTGGTCCGCCCCATCCAAAATGTTTATCTTCAATTATTTTCTAAAAATGTTTATAGACGTAACTATTACTCCACTGTCCCAATGATTTTTATACCCTACAACACTATGTGTTGGGGATATTATAAGTTTGATTGGGCCAAAAATTATGTAACACCTCGAAATATTGATTTCCCACATAGGAAAGTATATATGGATCTTCCTATCTCCGTCCGTCCGTCTGTCCAAGTTAATTTGTAATCAAGCTACAGGTCGCAATTATGAACCGATCCTCACGAAATTGAAAATGGAGATGGGGTTAAGGTCAGAATAGAACCCTAATTCTTTTGGAGATTATCGCACAATATTTAGGGGTTAAAATGGACCAAAAACTGAAAAATGTCCTGATTTGCTCTATAGGCCACAATTATGAACCAAACGACGCGGGAATTTACATGGAGTTGGAGGTTAGACCTGGGAAGAAGCCTACCAATTCGGCCATCGGACAATATTTAGCGGGTAAAATAGACCCTAACTTTTATGTAAGTAAATAGGAAATTTTCATTAAACAGCGAATATTTTTAACCCCAGCCAAATCACAAATACATTAAAAGGTCACTCCTGACCATTAAAGTGATGCTGATAGCCAAGAAATCGGATATATAGCAAAATAGGAACAATATATATGTAAAAGAAAGATATCTTATTTATTCTGTTAAGTTAACTTATTAAGTTAAGAACCACTGGGTCGATTTTCACATTTATGTCATATTTTTAATCGCTTGCGATTTTTTTAATTTGACAATTTTTAATTGAAAATTTTCTAAATTTTTACACTCCTCAACACTACGTATTGAGGGTATTATATGTATATTGCAATTATCATCCAATCCTCACGAAATTTTGCATGGGGGTAGCGTTAGGGTCAGAATTAAAGCCTAGTGTTCTTTTATTGTTCTTCTATAGGGGTTCAAATGGACTAAAAAAATAAATATTTCTAATTTGTAGTCGCCACAAATTGAAAACTAATCGACACGGAATTACACATCAGAAGAATATTGACCAAATTCTACGAGTCTGGGCAGAGCTCCTTGACATCATTTCAAAACGAAACCTTCAAAATGGATTTGGATATAAGGAGACTTCGAACATATTGTAGTGTTGTAGGGTATCACATGGTCGGCCCCGCAACGCTATAGCTTTTGCTTACTTGTTTAAAAGCATTTTTGGTTACGTCGGTAACTCAGAGCCAATTATATTAAATTTTTCTATCTGTAATTCTGTGTTTTAACATTCGATTAATTAATTTTTATATATTCTATCAAATATAAACATGAAAGTTTATAAAATAAACCAAATTAAAAGAGCGCGTGTTTCTTCTTCAAAGCTAATGGATATAATTTGACTGGCGACCATGTTGGCGTATAAACAATATTATTTTTCAAATAGAATTCATACGCCACCATGTACAAGCATAAATTAGCAAGGTTTCAAAAATTCAATAAATATTCCAGTGAAATTTTCATTTTAATCATTTTTGGAAAATTTGACTAATTGATATTGGAAGACAGCCATTAAACAGATTAGGGTTGATAAGGTTAATGAAAACCCTACAAACGTGTCAATTTACGCTTTTCGTTCGTTAAGACGTCTTAAGTACGTTAACAGTTTCATCTTAGCAACAAATTGACATGTTAGTCAATCATTAATCCTCGTCTTTCCCCCTGCTTCTCTCACCCTTTCATTTTCTTCGTTTTGCATAAACAAAATGTATTAATCAATGCTGATGTGGCCCCCAACTCGCTTGGAGGAAATTGCGTGAAGAGATTGTGGGCGTCACTATTGACCACAAACTCTAAAATATTTAGACGTCCTTGTACAGACATTCGAAGAATTAAAGCAACATTGACTTGTTCGCAAGTATGCTGTGCCTGTCATTTGTTATGTCTGCAATTAATCACATACTATATGTATATAATTGACAGAGGCCACAGCATGTATTGGTAGATAAATGTATAAGGGTGGATAAGCGACGAAGAATGCCAAAACTGTAACGTTTAATATTCTAAGCGAAATTAGGGTGTAGCAAAAGATACAGTTTCGTAATCATTAAAAAAGTCTCTAGTTTGTAAGGCTTACTGTTCCATAAAATTTATAAATATTTTTTTTTTATAATTTCGACTGCTTTCATGTTATATTTATTTATGTTGTTGCAACAGTGTCAATACATTAATTTGGCTACAAGTTGGCTGCTTCACATGTAATAAAAGTGGTTTGAATGTCAATCGATTGTTTTAATTTATTTCTACACCCTTGACATGTTTGATCGCCGTCTGGAGTGGTTGACAGCAAACAAACTTAATATGTACCCAACATACCAAACTTCAGCTCAATACCATAGTACAACAATAAGCTAACCCAACATACCAAAAATACAATGCAGCTTGAGAATAATATTATAAAAATATAATTTTTCAACAATGCTTGAGAAACACTTATGTTCCACAAACTTTTCTCAAATCTGTCCTTTGTTGACAAATTAGTTTTGATTTTTTGTGAAAATTGTCAGCAAAAAATTGTTTTCTTTGGTAAAAAGCAAAATCACGCGAATTTAGGACCCATTTCTGGACCAAGGTATGGATGAATAATAATTCCTGGAATCTGTGATATATATTATTTCAATCCCATTTCAGATTGGAGGCATCAAAGAAGTTGCAGGAATTCAATAGATGTGTAGTTTTTGTGGTAGACTAAAGGAGAAGAAAGCGTCAGGGTATCAACGCCACATAAGGCAGTGACTACTGGGATGTCCATCAAGAAAAAAAATGTGTAAAATGAATAAAAAATAATATTTTATACTATTACAAAAAAAAGCTTAATATAAAATTATGTTCGTCAGCTTATTCTACAATTTTAATTATAAGCTTATAAATAAAGGTTCCATTTCGATTATTCTATACTTGTTACACAAAGATTTTTCAAGGTTTTCTCAAGATTTTCTCAAGCTTAAGGCTAATGTTAATAAGCTTATTGTAATATTATTCTCAAGCCATTTTGGTATGTTGGGAAGGTAGAGCTCCCAGCTGATTACAATTTTTTCTAAGTGTGCCCGACTTCTGCAAATTTTGTGTATGTATTTGTTGTTTTGAAAAATAAAAAAAAAAATATTTTCAATATCAATGATTGGAAGAAACTTAAATTGCGGGACGAGCATTAATAATATTAACTAGACTAGCATTGAAATTGAAAGATTGAACACTTAGGATCATATTTTTTAGAGAACATCCGGGCATTTCATTCATCTTTCGCGCTATTTGACTCTTTTTAGAAGTGAACAAAAAATACCAAATAAATGAAAACATCTTGTTGCCCATGATTTTGAAAAATTCTGACTGGAATCGAGCATAGCCTCAGGGCTGTATTTCTGTAGTTCTACGAAACTGTTCTACCTCCCTACTGTACCATGCTCAATACCTTCACATGTTACTTTTTCTTTTGTAACCAAGTAAAAAATATTGTCTCGATTTTTTTCCAAGGAGTTAAGCTGCTAAATATATTTTAATATCAAATAAAACATAACGAGTTTGAATCATGCCATTCGAAACGTTTTGAATTAAAATCCTTATAAATAAAATATCACCATGTATACCGGTTTTTTACGAGGTCAACACCAAGATAATTTCCTTCCAGAAGCAATCCTTCCATTTAAGCAATCCTTTTGAAAATGTGGCTTAAATCTTAAAATGTACCAGTATCGGAATGCGGATATGGAGCACATATTGCCAAATAACACATTTATGAAAATTCAATGGACCAATATTGATGGTGTTAGGGTCCACTCTAAATCAAAATTTTGTGTTGCCAGCCGACAGAAAAATAAATTCTTGCCTAAATACACCTAATGTCAGGAGATACCTTTATAGTAAATCGTGGACCTTTTTAATACCAGAACAAAAAACAATACTAGGATAAAAAAACAAACTTAGCATACTGAAATAAAGGCACCGATATAGCACGTAGGGCAACCATGTCCCTCCGAAATGCTGTTCAGAATTTTTCTAAAAATGTTGTTTGAAAAGCTAATATTTTAAACTACGTCGGTGGTCATTTTAAAGTATGGAATTCTTCCTCTTTTAAAACTGATCACAAATTATAGCTAAAATCCCCGAAATGTCAATATTAAAGGAGTTATGGCCATTTTAAAGTATGCTATTTTTCCTCTTTTAAAAACTGAAGACAAATTTTAATTAAAAACTCCGAAATGTTAATATTAAAGGAGTTATGGCCACTTTAAAATATGTTATTTTTCCTCTTTTAAAAATTGATCACAAATTATAGCTAAAAACCCCGAAATGTCAATATTAAAGGAGTTATGGTCATTTGAAAGTATGCTATTTTTCCTCTTTTAAGAATTGATCACAAATTATAGCTAAAAACCCCGAAATGTCAATATTAAAGGAGTTATGGCCATTTTAAAGTATGCTATTTTTCCTCTTCTAAAAATTGATCACAAATTATAGCTAAAAACCCCGAAATGTCAATATTAAAGGAGTTATGGCCATTTTAAAGTATGATATTTTTCCTCTTTTAAAAACTGATCACAATTTATAGCTAAACCTCCGAATTGTCTGAAAATGACGTAAGTTTCTTCGCAGATAACTCAAGAACGGCTGGACTAATTTTGTCATTTCGATTCCAATTCGGATAGCCTCAAATGTAGTTGAACCCGCTCCACCACTCTTCGGATGTACAAAATTCCCAAAAGCGTTAACTTTAAAATTTACAAGGATATTAAAAAATTCCCAGCCGATAGAATTGCACTTTAAAATACGCTTCTTAATTTCCAAAATGTTTCGAGTTGAGAAG